AAATAATCATTTACTTTACTTATGTTATCAAATAGGGTACAGGTATGGAAAGACGTTGGTTCCCTTGACCAAGATTGACAAAGACAGCATGAAACTTCCCACAGAAAGATGTTTATCCTTACTCTGTTTCACTTCCAATGAAAATGTAAGTGCTGATGATTGAATTAAGAACCATGTTAGGAAAAGTCAACTTGAATGAACAAACAACTAATCTAAAAAGGGAATTTACTAATCTGATCGTAAAATAGAAATTTAAAAAGTAACAACCATTTTGTATACCTGTAATTGCAATTTCTCTCTTGATATGTTTATCTACAGTATATCTTGTATTTTAACACTGAGAATATCAATCTTTCATGTAAAATAATGTCAAAATGGGGATATGCTCTAAGATATCAACAAAATGATTTTTGTGGCTCTGTACTTTCCTTTATTTCTTCATTTCTTATGAATGTGCTCTATTTCCTGGAATAAGCGTCTTAAGGCTTATTTAAAATTTTGACTGAAAGGGGCGGGGTCCCTCATGGGCAGGAGGGTGCTTGATCAAGGAGGGTGCTCATTGTTCTCCTGTGCTGATTCTGCTGTAGTTGAAGCTTAAAAAAGTTAGAAATAAACTGGCAATAGAAACAGGTTTTCCATTTATCCCTACTATTAAGAAGGTGAGGGAGATAGGGGGGTGGTTACTTAATGGGGGCAGTTGTTTGACATTGAACTGAGCATGGAGCATGGGAACTTAACCCTTTAATTCCCAAGATCTCATTAGTAATTATCCTCACTGTCTGCCATGTGATTCTTATGATGTCAATTTGGAGAATTTGGTATTGGATCAATTCATAATCTCCTACATTGATATTTTATTTTATTCTCATTGCTTCTGTGCTTAATATTGTATTGGGATTGTAAGGAGAAATTTTCTCTTTACTAATGGGAGGTAAAGGGTTAATTGAGGGGATCAGTGACTGAATATATGAGGGTACAGTGTATGTCAGTAGCAGTATATAATGACGTAACATGCAATTCCACAGGTCCGGAGATATCAGTATGTTGGAGACAATGTAATAGCCTTTGTTCCACAGCCAGGTGATCAGGTAATTAAACTTTAAGACTTCATGAAATTAAAAAAATCCAAAGTGACTGTCTG